TGTGTGTGTTTATATTTAATATATATATATATATATATATATATATATATATATATATATATATATAATTTGATCAAAATTATGTGTGTGTGTGTGTGTGTGTGTGACAAAGTTTCAATTAATAGTACTCAACACTTGTATGAGCATATATTAGAGTGTACTAGCAAGGGCTCTTTACTAGATATTGTATCTTCAATTAGATTATGTGCTGAAGTTTCTCCAAGATATATACATCAACCATAATTTTGATCAACAACACCCAAGTCGTGTTTAGAAAGTAGAAAGAAAAGTGTTATAAAACTAGCTTGAAATGTTAATAGAAATATACACATCAGCGAATTAGAAAGCACTGGCATTTTGATGACCCTTAAGTACTGAAAGAAGAAAAGTTTAGCACTCTATGTCTGAGTATTTGGACGTAATTCCAGTTTAGGATAATAATAATTAATAGGCTACGGTGTGTATATGCTGAAGAATAGTAACAGTTTATGGCATGTATCACTTGCGTGCAGTACTCTTGAATCCTTACTTTTACTTTTTATTTTATTTTGTTGTTAGGTTTTCGGCACTAATTAACTCTAAAATGCTGACTTTATAACTATAGTGGGTATTACCAAAGTAAATAAAATAAATAATGCTAATCAAAACAACAACAACAACAAAATATAAATATAGTTTAAAGTAATAACAACAAAAGTGATAAAATAATAATAGAAGAAAATTTAGTATACTTTGGAAATAATTGTATGAATTTTACTTTTTAGATAATACTTATTGCTGCCTTTAGAAACAACAATATACAAATTTGATAAAATCTTATAAAAATCTAACAAATTCACAAGTCTTTACAATTGATGAAATATTTTTTGTATATCAAATATACATGCAATTCCTTTATAGCAATAATGCCAAAGTTAAACTTCTTGGCAGTGTTTGCACTTTTGTGCTTAAATTATTTATAAAAAAAAATATAAATAATGAAGAAGGTGGGTAACAAATTTTCTTTTCTGGGTCAGAAATGAGAGGTAATTATATAACCTGGGTGACCTCTCAGCTCGAAACCGGAAAAGTACTATACACTGGGTCAGAAAGAAAGATACGGGTCATCAAAGAAACGAATCCACTTCTCCATAGTAATTATGTACCATCAGAATATACATAACAAGGAAAAGAGAAAAAACTCTCCAGTACTAGTACTACTTGCTTTGTAATTTAATTTTTATATATTATGGAGGGTTATTGCTAAGGTGAAAAACCAAAAGCTATCATGGAATTATCTCATTTTACTTCCATTGGTTTTATTAAAAGAGACAGAGAGAAAGAGGGAGAAAAAAAAAAAAGAAAAAAAAAAAAGGGATATAAATGTGTTTCTCCATGTTGGTAGACTAGAGCTATATATTAGAAGCTAGCTTATATAAAAGGGGAACATAGGATGTTGGTTTTTCCTTCTATCTTTTGAAGATCTAAAGTAGAATTGGAGAGAGAGAGAGAGAGATCAAATCAAGGGAAATAAATATTGTAGCACACATAGCATAGTGTGATCGATCATGGAAGAACAACTTAGTCCACTAGCCGTGACTCATCTTCTTCAACACACACTGAGAAGCTTGTGCATTCACGAAAACTCTCAGTGGGTTTATGCAGTCTTTTGGAGGATCCTCCCTAGAAATTACCCACCACCCAAGTATGCAAAATCAACATCTTCTAACTTTTCTATATCTTCACACTCATATATATATATATATATGTATGTATGTATGTATGTATTATATGATCAGTTCTAAGCATCAATTCTTTTCTTGGTTTCTTCAATTTTAAAAAATATATAATAGATGGGAAGGTCATGGAGCTTATGACAGGTCAAGAGGGAACAGAAGAAACTGGTAATACTTAGATATATCATTAAGATATAAATATATATATATATATTTATATTTATATATGTAAATTGTTGCTTGTTAGTTTGTGTGTTGGGTGTGACGGTACTACTCAGTACATACACAGATGTTGGTATTTTTTTGTGACATATAATGATACGTGGCTGTAGGATATTAGTTTGGGAAGATGGGTTCTGCAACTTCGCAGCTTCGTCGTCGTCGTCATCATCATCGTCAACAACAACAGGAGGTGGAGGAGGAGGAGGAGGAGGGGGGCCAGAGATGAACGGCGGAGATTGTTCATCAGCTCCAATATCGCTTTATGGCAACCCCTCATCATCACCATGTGATCATCATCAGTTTCAGCACTACCAAGGGCTTCAACCTGAGCTTTTCTTCAAGATGTCCCATGAGATCTACAACTACGGAGAAGGGTATATTATATAATTATAACATGTACAAAATCTGTTTCATTTCATCAGTTTTAATGTTTCTGTGTGATTATGATTCTAGTTTATGTTAGCCTTAAAGAAGCAAAGCAATTACAAATATTGTAGTTTGAGTACTTAATTTTTTGTTAGTAAATTAATTTTCAAAATTGTACGCAGGTTGATAGGAAAGGTGGCTGCGGATCATAGTCATAAATGGATATACAAGGAACCTAATGATCAAGAGATCAACTTCTTGTCAGCATGGCACAACTCGGCGGATTCGGTATGTAAACTAATTAAATTCAATTAGTTAGTTGTTTTTTCTTTTTGATAATTAATTAGTAGTTGTTTTTTCTCTTATTATTAGTAAACTAATTATGTGTTTACTTTCTTTGCTCTGAAAATTATGTGTCTACTTGGTTACACTAGTTATCCAACTCATATATTTTGTCTCCTAATTAAGGAAAAAAATATATATACATCTGTGATCTTTTAGTGCTACTTTGGGGGCGTTTTTATTCAATTTCTTGTCTTTTATACTCAGCATCCTAGGACATGGGAGGCCCAGTTTCAGTCTGGAATAAAGGTTGGTTAGCAAACAAACTACTTTATATAAACCTTCAATATAATCTCTCATATATTACATATTTGAAAAGAGTACGAATCCTCTTTGGTTTGATCCAAAAATATATGATGCTGCAGACCATAGCCCTGATAGCAGTGAGAGAAGGAGTTGTTCAGTTAGGAGCCATCCACAAGGTCTGCTCTTCTATATCCCTCTCTCTCTCTCTCTATCTCTCTCTCTCTCTATATATATATATATATATGTATATCTTTTATATATAGTAATATTATATATTGTATTGTTGAAGGTGATTGAAGACTTGAGCTATGTTGTTCTCCTAAGAAAGAAGTTCAGCTACATAGAGAGCATCCCGGGAGTGCTGCTTCCCCACCCATCATCCTCACCAATATTCCCTAATTTCAAGGTTGATGCAGGCTATAATACAAGTACCCCAGATGCATGCGCATGGCATTTCCAAGGATCTCTAATTGCACCCCAACCTCACGAATTTTACGATAATCAAGATCATCATCGCCACCAATACATGAACCAAATACCACTCAAGGTTACTCCCTCCATGAGCAGCCTCGAAGCCCTCCTCTCCAAGCTTCCATCGGTCGTTCCCCCTCCGACACACGAGGCGTTGATCATGTCGTCAATGCCTCATCATCACCATCAGTTTCAAAGGCCTTTGGAGTTCATGGGAATGGAGAAAGTAGCCAAGGACGAGATCGATAATGATGACGATTGTTATAGGCCGGAAAAGGTCGATGCGGCAGGCGGCGAGAGCAGCAGCTCCATGTCATTCCGCCGACACAATAGTTTCCATCAGCACCACCAGGATCACAACGTAGCCAGCGCTAGCGGACCTAATGCCGGATTCTAAATTAATGATGAGATATAGTAGCTTAATATTGATGTAGTAGGGAGTAAAAATTAATTATATGGAGTCGAGTTTAATTCTAACGTTGTTAGGGAAGCTTAATTTCAATTTAAGCGTGTCGGTTGTCGTAGGGAGTTTGTAGCCAGTCAGGCGTCTGTTGGTGGTTGCAGACGCTTAATAGTCCTTATCATGTGATCTCCTATAAATCATAAGGATATTCTTCTCTTCTTCGTCTTCCTATGTATATGACGTGATTTGTACTCGGTATGTTCTGCTAACGATTAATTATTGAGGTGTTAGAGAACAATGTCTTAGAGAGAGAAAGTGATAAGTAGTACAACATAACAAACCTTCACTTCAAGTGATGCAAGAATAAGCTGCTTATATAGCTAAACCCTACATGAGTCCATGACCAAGCAAGGCGTGAATCTACCAGATCTAGGTTGACCTTTGTTTCCACGGAACATGTAATAATTTTAAGGATTACTGCCCTTTACTTTGGCTTATCAAAAAGCCTTTTGTCAAATTTACGTTATTGATCCTTTACTTGTTTAGTACCGTTTTCTACTAGCTGGACACAAGTGGAAAGCGCTCGCTCGTGTCAAAAACGGGAATTATTTGTTGCAGAAAATGAAGGGAGTTATTGCCAAACCAAATACCCAGATCTAACGAAAGCAAGCTTTGCCCGACAAAACCAACCAAAAAGAAAACTTGCTTGCTTCCAACTTAATTTTGTCAAGCTAAAAGATAATTATTTGCCGCAGGACTTTTATATAATGGGAAAAGCAGCGTGGACTGTCCTAGTCCCACAATAAATGAGGTTTGGGAAGGACAGTTTTGTGTCCTAACACATGAAAGGCAGAGGTACAGAATTGTTGGTATTATACTATTATTGTTGTGTGCAAGACACGGCTAGTGATTTGAAGGATAAAAGTCTTCACACTAATGAAAAACCTTTTTGTCTTATAACAGAAGGAAATGGCATGAAAATATGAAATCAACACGACGACTAACAAGGAACGGCCCCTCCACCTCCCACCTACCGGCCACCAACAACAGAGACTTTGTTACTGTCAAATCCAATTTCTGTTCTGCCTAAGGAACAAGTATAAAATTTTCCCCTTCGAGGAGCTCTTAGATACACATTCATAGTCCAAGACCACGGAGTTTTCAGGGGAAGAAGAAAATAAAGAATATCGCAGGATCGCCTTTTGCTCAAACAGCCAAAGAGAAAAAGACTGAAATTGCCCAGGGACAATTCCTGGCCCTAAGATAGTGGATCTACTGGCATCCATGCTAGTGATTCACGTCGTCTAGTAAAGATTTCGGACTGAGATCACCTGTCCACAACTTCCTATCCCAATCCCTGTCCAACAAATCAAAATAAGCCACGTCATTAAATACTCCATATCATATAGTAAATATTAATTGCTCTAAATGAAGTTTACATCCGTCAGTCTTTCGCGTCATTTCTCATGTTTCTAACCAAAGAGACCCATATTTTCAGCCAAACAAAAAAAAAAAAGACCCATATTCTTATCAAAAGTAACTGTAAAAACCATTAAGCGCTCCAGAGAGATCTTGAGCTTCCCCTGTGTTCTTCCGTCTTTTTTGCTTTATGTCATGTCTCTAGTCTAGTAGTATTCTTTTAGTGGCATTCACATATTAGAGAGAAGTCATAATCGATTAAAAATATATTTTTTTTTGAATTTTTTGTGCACCATCGCGGACTTCACCGTGAAAGATCGAGTGGTCTGGCATATACTTTCCAAACGTCTTTCAGTAAGAAGTTTTCCTACATGGATTTCGGACATCGGTGATAAATGATTGAATCCGAATGAATGAACAAAGCAATAAAATCTAATTAATCAGAAGAGAAAATGGGCTTTTAGGGTAGTTTAAATTCTCCAAAACGGGTAAGAAAAAGAAGAAATTTTTAAATATTCATCTGCAACTCATCATCTCTTAATGTCATTGCAACCTCAAAGGAAAGAAGAAGAAGACGACGTATGGGACTTCCAGCCAAACAAAAGGAACAGAGAGAAAAGAAAAGGATAGAGACACAAGTTTTTTTAATAGATCAATAACGGACGTTAACGCTTTAAATCTAATAAATATCACTAACTTCAAAATTGAGACGTGGCTCATTTTGATTTGTTAGACAGGTGATCCCGTCCATCAGTGAAACGCTTCTGTCTCCGCCTTGAAGTGTTGTAGCAACTCCTCCATGCTCATCACGGAATGGTCATATGAATTCCTCAGACGTACGCTCACCTGCAAAATAAGGAAAGGATTAACGAGTGATCCAAAATTCCCAGACCCATGCTTTAAAACCAAGCTAACACAAAGTTTATAGATTTGATGGTTCTGATTGCCTTATGTAGCAAATGTAACCAAGCTAACACAAAAAATTTGGAAATATCATATGTTAACCCAGATGCTTCTTAACATGCCACGTAGAAAAATAATATGATTTGCAAAAGCGACAAGCCAGGATCTAGTTTAAATGACAATTCGTATAAGATAAATAGAGATGGAAGGGAACCTGTCCAGTGTTGGCTTCCTCTTCACCAACAACCAAAATAAAGTTGTACTGGGCCAACTGAGCTTCTCGTACCTGCAGTAGCCAACACGATCAGTAACTAATATTACCCAAGAATGATTAGAATCTATTTGAAATAAATAATTTCTAGGAGGTAGCACTGCCAATGAATAGATGCAGAAATGAGAAAGAGAAACCGGCAATTTGATGCTAACAAGAAAGGCTTTTGGATCCATACCTTTTTCTGGATCTTTCTGTCAGTTGTATCAACATCAACATAATAACCAGCATCATGAATCTGATCCCTCACCTAAAAATTATGCAACAAAAGAGAAACAACGGTATTTCAATTGGAAACGAATAGCGAGAGAAGGGGAAAAAAATCTAAACTAGCCATTAGATTAAATATTGGTCAATCAGTTTGCACAACTTTAAACTTCAAGGAACACAACTAGCAAAGTAGCAACTGGATAACCAATTTGGAGATGCTCCATCGCAATCAACAAAATAAACTTTACTCGTATACAGACAAGTAATGGGAATGGTTGATGATTAGTACCCAAAAAACAGAAAAACTACCCGCTTGTTTCACACTAGACTCACTAAGATATATTTTCTTGTTTCACACTTGACTCGCTAAGAAATTGAATGGCTCATGGGAAATTCAGGCTAAACTCAAGCAACCTACAGCTAGGTTCAAGTTAGTTCGAATCAGTGAACAGCTTAGTGGGAAGACAATGAAAAAAAAAATGCAAAAGAAACTCAAAAACAAAATAGTAGAAATGACATAAAGATGCTTCATAACTTGGTCAAAACCCAGAATAATACAATTTAACTAAAGGTATGCACGACAAAATTACCTTTAATGCATATGACTGGGATTTCTCTGACACAGGACAAACAATTGCCTGACGTGGGCTAAGCCAGAATGGCCATTTTCCTTTGTAGTGTTCCAGCAGTATAGCAAACATACGTTCAACAGAACCTAAAACGGCTCTGTGTATCATAACAGGTGCTTCCCTCTTTGCTTCATCCTCTGCTGAGTAATAGAGCTCGAAACGAGCAGGAAGCTGGAAATCAAGCTGCAACCAAAACCATAAACCTATTATGGTCCCACACCAGCTACCAAAATGGTGAGCACACCACCAACCAAAAAAATAAATTAATAAATAAACTTTCATAAACCTGTAACGTTGCACATTGGAATTTCCTATTCAAAGCATCAGATACACTGATGTCTATCTTTGGGCCATAAAATGCACCATCCCCTTCATTTATCTGTGCAACAAGGCAAAAAAAGAAAACCATTTAGAAGAAACATGCAAAACGAAAAAAGAAAAGAAAAAATAAAGTAGCAGGGATACAATTGAGGGGTAGGCAGATACATCAAGGAAAGAAAAAAGACCTGCCAAGGCTTGCCAAACTCATTCAGTGCTTCCGTAAGAGCAGCCTCGGCTTTCTCCCATGTAGCCAATTCTCCAAGGTATTTCTCTGGCCTCTGTAATGGATTCCAGTAAAAATATTGAATATTTGTATGAGTATGACAAGTTGCAGGTAAATTCAATGAAGACGAATAGAGAACAACTAAGAAACAGACTTATATTGAGTCATTATATAAGCCACAGGGGCACACCACAATCATAATTCCACAATAGAATTTTATGAATGGATGAGCTACCTTGTATTAAATAAACCAAAAATTTAAATCCGTTAAAGAACAAATCCAGGAGGCCGAACAATTAATTTTCAGGGAATCAGTATCACGAAATTAAATCACTTTTCATGCCAAGAATTGATAGACTAGAGAAGTTCACGAAATAAACACCACAGATTATATGTCATACCGTTGATAACTTCAGATCAAAAGTGAAGCCAAATACATCGTAACAATATTTGATAAATTCTAAGACACCCCTCACTTCTTCTTTTATCTGAAAAGTGAAACAGAAAGTAATAAAAATGAGCACCAAAAAGTTCAAAGAGCATTCTCTGATAGGATAGGGGGGAAAATAGCTTAATCCAAAATGATTATTCTAAGGTGATCTTAAAAACTGTCTTGCTGGTAGGTTTTTTTCTTCTTTTTTTCACACACTTCCATAAAATTCTACAACGTTTTCAAATAAATAAAACAAATTTAAATTTGGCTCACCTGAGACTCCCTGCAAAAGATATGAGAGTCATCCTGTAAGAGATTTGGACTTAAACTTGTCAGAAGAATTCATTATTTCCGATGCCATGGAATAAAATTCGTTCCAGCAAATGGTGACAAACACATGAAATCCTTTAAGTACAGTAGATTAATTGGATCTAATAATTAAATCAGACAAAGAATCGGACGTGCATATTAGCTTAACCATGACATTGAGCCCGAGGAACTAAATTAGAACAGAAATATAACTAAAAGAAGAAGCGTTTTAAAGAAAGAGCTCCCTAATGATAGTCTGCAGTCTAGTGTGACACCTGCTGAAATCTCCGGACACGTGTCAGGCCAGTAAGAGCACCACTGGCTTCATTTCGATGCAAGACCCCAAAGTCAGCCAGTCGGAGAGGAAGTTCTACAGAACCAAAAATAAAGATTGAATAGATAAGGATAGTTCACAAAGGCCAGACAAAAAACTATGCGAACGAAGAAATAGACGGATAACATAATTCCGTATTTAAATTTTAATGCAAATCGGGAGAAACAAATAGACTATCTTACAGAAATACAGAATATATGGAACAAAATGCAAGCCAAAAGCAACAAGTCAAGCGACACTCAGTTCAATAAGTTACAACTTCCTAAATGAAACATAATAAACTCAAAAATTTGCCACAGATTTTCTAATGTCGACTTCACATGCTCAGTTAGTAAAAAGGATATTACAGCATTTTTGTTCCTATATAACTAAAGCAGATATAAAGAACAAAACAGAATAGAAAAATAAGATTGGAGACAAATGAATTTACCTCTATAAGACCGAACTCTATGTTGAAACATCAAACAATGTCCTGGGCAATTCATTGGTTTCAATCCAAATTCCTGTTTTTCAATCTGCACCAGGAACCTAACATCATTATTATAAGTCTATCTACCACTGTATATTGAACTTTAACAATCGTTTTCCACTTTTAAAAAATAATGGGATAGATGACAAATATTCGCATGGCATTTAATTTAGCAGCGCTGGAGAACACCCAAATCATGCTTTTGAAAAGTGCATCAACATGCAGTAGCCCACCAATGCATCCCCTGCCCTAATCACTATAGAATTTGAATGATAAAACATAGGAACAATCTAGGAATTGAAATGACTTGTATCACACATGGCTTACTTATATTAGGCACCAAGACACTGACCTTAGAGAGCGTCCCAAGGCAAGATCACTTAACATGAATTATAAATGAAACCTATTACCATTGTAGAGTTTTTTCCCCTTAAAAACCATATTCATGTTGTTTATGAAGGATAGTTGCTCAGTGAAGACTTCAAACTTGTGTTTGATTTTTCACGCCCATCTTAAATCATAAACTGAGACGTCATATTTAATAACAGCTATGTACAGGTCCAAAAAGGTAACGCAAGTTCAGAATACTAGCACACGCACAGACATTAATGCAGCCCAATGATGGTCAACATTTACCCGCAACAACAAGATAAGATATAAAGAAAAATATGAACACCACCTCAAATACAAACATATTCTCCTTGTAATTTGCAGCGTGACCAGATGTCTCCCATAATTGCATATTATACATGTTTGGTGATAAAACCTGCAAGTGACAAGTAAATTAGGCGTGCACAAGTACAAATATCATCACATTCCATCTGAAACATAACATAGACTGCAAACCTCTTGGTATCCTCTCTCTCTATATTGATTTCGTATAAAATCCATTAGTTTGTTGTAGATCCGTGTCCCATGTGGAAGGAAGAACCAACTTCCTGGGCTAAAAGAATCAAACGGAAACAAAGCGGGAAAAAAAAAATTGAATAAACATGATGGAAAATCTTCTTCGACAAAACAATGAAACATAAATTGAATTTTGATATACCTAAGCGGATGACAGAAGAAAAGCTCCTGTTTTGTACCCAACAATCTGTGATCATACATTTTAGCTTCTTCCAGAAATTTTATGTATTCCTGTAGGAAATAGTATTGTTGAGAGAATATATTCAATTCGAAAAAAGAGATAGAGCACGCAGACAAACAGACCCTTCCTAACTTTAAGGCTCTAAAAGAATATCACCTCCAAATGTTTTTTATCAGGATAAGATATTCCATAAACTCTTTGCAAACTTTCACGATCCTTATTCCCCCTCCAGTAAGCTGAAGAAGCCTAGAGTTACAAATTCAATTGGTTAGACAAAAAAATGATGAGCGTCTATCAATGTGTTAAAAGGCATTTTACAAGCTACTAGCTACAGTTCAAACAGATGATAATAATACATTACCTTCAAACATTGGAACGCTTTCACAAAGGATGTATTAGGTATATGAGGTCCACGGCATAAATCAACTAAGGGACCACATCTATATACGGTGATAGTTTTGTCTGCCGGCAAATCATTGATAATCTCAACCTGATCATTGCTCAAAAGACTAAAAACGTATAAGAAATTGGAAATGGGCATGAAATATATACAACGCCTAAAAGGAGAAACATCTAACAATTTACTTGTCATACACAATCTCAAAAATAAGCAGCTTTACTTGCCTTGAAACTATTGTCAGAAAACATCTCAAGTGCCTGTTCCCGTGATACTTCAATACGCTCAAAAGGCTGCTTTACCTGGAGGAAAGAGAAAACGAGGAAAAAGAATCTTTACCAACTCGCTCTTATCCAAAAGAGCCTTCTTTAAATTTTTGGCTGCGTACATCTTAAGTTTGCAGTTACTACATTTTCTGATCAAAGTAATAAAGTCATACAAAACTGTAAGCAACTACTACTATACGTGCCGTCCCTACTCCCTCACAGTGATGACAACAATAAGCAGAATATTTGCAACAATAAAAAAGGTGATAGTAGGACACAGCTTCAACTATATAACAACATTATAACTGGTTTTTTATTCCTTTCTACAAGAAACGAACAATACCTTAGCAGCCTTGCTTGCCCCAGCATCGATTTTCTTTAAGTTTTTGTCATTTAAACCGAAGTCGCCGTAATACGCGTCATAATAAAAACCCTGTAATTACATTTCGAAAATTTTCCAAAAAAAAAACAAAAACAAAACGCAACATATTACCACTTCATAAGAAATTGCAATGATGGAGAACGAACAAAAAGAAAATCACCCTTCAACACAGTTGGAAAGTCAAATTAGACCACTATAACATACTAATCCAAAATACATTATTTAAAGATAATCCAAAAAGATTGTTAAAGGCTTGATAATCTTAGAAAATACCTCTCCTCTGGTGGTGCAAGGTCCAATGCAGAGCTTGCATCCGTACTCCATCTCCAGTGCCTAATCGACAACAACAACAAGGCCTTTATCAATTTCTCTCCAAAATCAAGCTAAAATTCAAACGCCGAAAGAAAAAGAAAGAGAGAAAGAAAGAAGTTACATTTCCGAACCTGTCCAAGAATGTGAGCGCTAGAATGCCAGAAAGTGTCGCGCCCCTCATCGCTCTCGAAGGTGAAGAGCTTGAGCTCACAATCGCCTTCCAAAGGCCTCGTCATGTCCCACAGAACTCCATTGACCTGAGAGATCAGAGCATTCGCCGCCAAACTCTTCGAAATCTCCTTGGCGACGTCGAACGGCGAGGTCACCCACTTCTTCCCTTCCTTCACCGTCCCGTCCGGCAACGTTATCCTGAAACAAACGACGCAGACAGAACCGGTCAAAACTCAATCCAAACAAATCTCGACTCGCAGAAGCAAAGTGAATTAGGGCTTACTTGATGGGATCGGATTGGAGAGAGAGGCGTTCGACTTGCTGCTGAGCCTTGATGGACTCGAAGAGCTGGATTCGCTTCGGAATGACTGCGTTTAGATACGCCTCGTCTTTGGGAGTGGCTTCCGCCATGGCCGCGGTGGTTGCTTGTGGCGGCGACGGAGGTTCTGCGGCGGCGGAGGAGGAGAAGAAGAACCGGAGAGAATGCGAAGGAGAAGAAGAGGAAGACGAAGAAGGGGAAAAACGGCGGAGAATGAAAGGGAGAGCTTCTCTGCTGTTACGGAATGACGAAAACAGCATAATAAGGGGTCTTTTCTAGTTGGTCGTTTCTTGGAGCCTTTCTCAGTGGTTTTACGCTACCAAAAGGAGGTTTTAAGAAGGAATGAACAAATAGGAAATTTATTATAAAATAAAAAAAGAAAACATTCATTTTTAAAATGACATGAGTTTAAATTTTTATTATAAATATTTTTTATGAGTATAATTGTTTAATTAAAAAATTATAAATTAAAAATAAATAGTAAAAAGTTGGATGATTTTATGTATTTTTAAAAGGTATTTGTCAAATATTACCTTTAGGTATTTGTGGGGTTTTTTTGGCTTCTAGTTTGAATAGGGTAGGAAACAGGCCGGGCTTTGCGTGCGGCCCAAGTACCATTTTTCTAGGTCGTCATTTTGATGATATGGATTGTCGTTTTTGGTTGGCAATCGTGTTTTACTGTTTTTATAAGGTTTTGCAGGGGGGAAAAAAGGTCAAAAAATGCTGAGAAAAAAATCGTTAAAGTAATGAGATGAAAGTGAGTTTAGACAACTGATAACAAAAGAATGAAAAAAAATAATAATAATTGGTCGCTTTTTTATATGAATGATTTTATACCGTCTTTTTTCTTAAACGTCTTGCGGTATTATATTTTTCAAAAGTTTAATTCCACTCGCATTTTTTGAGTTTATTGGCGTTTCTTAGATCCTGAACTCTTAAATTTGAAAAATGATACCTTAAATTTAATGATCTTTTGTAATTGTGGTCCAACAGCGAATACTCGTTTAAATGGATAGAAATGTTTGAAGATTTTTTGAGAAGTACAGCTTAAACTTTTTGTTATTTGATAAATTGAACCCTAAATTTTTAAGTTTTATAATTTTAGACTTTTACTTTATCAAAATGCATTGTCAAAAACTATCAAATAGAGTCCTAAATGCTAAATCAAATTTAAAATTTCTATTTTTTTCTTTTTGATTGGGTTTAAAATTTCAACTTACAAATAACAAAAAGTTCTTAATGACAGTTTACATTCCTAAAATATTTGGTCGTGTTTAATGTTTGTGTTGTTTTTAGTGTTGTTATCTATTTCCGACCACCTTCTACATTCCTTGTACTTTTTCTTTGTTGCTCTTGGAGGAAAATTGTTCGCGTTCATTTGTTTCATGTCACTTCCAATGAATCAATTTTTCGATGTGAGATATCTTTTAAAAATTATTTTTAAAATTGTTAATTTTTTATCAACTAATTTCAAGGATATTTTTCGATCCAAAAAGGGATTTGAAGTGCGCGAAAGATTATTTAACAACGTCAGAGTGTCGTTGCATTTTCATTGAAGAAAATTAAGGTACTAAAGCCATTTTTATACTAACAAGAATTTTTATTCTTTTAATTATTTCGCCATTTTAATTTTTAAGTTCATGCCGTCTGGAGATAGTTTTTGCAGGGATGCTGTCGTTTTTTAGTATTTATAGTTTTATGTCGTGTTCATAGTAATCTAATCTTAAAAACATTTACTAAAGCCATTTTTATACTAAAAATAATTTTTATTCTTTTAATTATTTCGCCATTTTAATTTTTAAGTTCATGCCGTCTGGAGATAGTTTTTGCAGGGATGCTGTCGTTTTTTAGTATTTATAGTTTTATGTCGTGTTCATAGTAATCTAATCTTAAAAACATTTACTAAAGCCATTTTTATACTAAAAATAATTTTTATTCTTTTAATTATTTCACCATTTTAATTTTTAAGTTCATGCTGTCTTGAGGTGGTTTTTGCAGGGATGCTGTCGTTTTTTAGTATTTATAGTTTTATGTCGTGTTCATAGTAATCTAATCTTAAAAACATTTACTAAAGCCATTTTTATACTAAAAATAATTTTTATTCTTTTAATTATTTCGCCATTTTAATTTTTAAGTTCATGCCGTCTTGAGGTAGTTTTTCGTTTTTTAGTATTTATAGTTTTATGTCGTGTTCATAGTAATCTAATCTTAAAAACATTTACTAAAGCCATTTTTATACTAACAATAATTTTTATTCTTTTAATTATTTCGCCATTTTAATTTTTAAGTTCATGCTGTCTTGATGTAGTTTTTTCAGGAATGCTGTCGTTTTTTAGTTTTTATAGTTTTATGTCGTGTTCATAGTAATATCGTCTTAAAAACATTTTTGACGGGTCTTGTTGCCGTTTTGAAGCTCTTTGCTTAATTTCTTTTTGCATTTTATGTCGTTCGAACAATTTTTTTTTCATTTTATTGTCGTTGTTCGTTTGTGTTTCTGTGGTTTTAGTTCTTATCCTTGTTTCAAAATATTTTCAAGACGTTTGCGTTTTACTATTTGATTTTTCTTTTCGTTGTTATACCTTACCTTTTGAGGTAATTAAAAAATCATACCTTATATTTACAATTGTATCGAATTTATACTTCCTTACCTTAGTCCTTCACATTTTTGAATTTTTATCTTTTCTTAATTTTTCTTAAATTTTTTCTTTTCTCTTTAAGGGTGTTTAGGTCTTTTTGTGATCAAAATTGACCATTAAATTTTGAAAAACATGAACTTTTATCATGTATTTTTATTCTCAAGTTTTAGATGTCATCCTTCTGAAGTTTATTCTTAAAATTTATTTTTTTCCTTTTAGTGTTCTTACCCTTTTTTATTGTGGTTTTCAGATAGTTTTCATTTTCAAATTTATTGTCGTTACTTATGACTAAGTTTGTTTGTTTTTTTTTATTAATGTCGTTTTCAAATTTAGTTGTTGAGTTTTTAGTGTTCACATCGTTTTTTATTGTGGCTATTCAATTTAGTTGTTGAGTGTTTAAACCCATGCCGTTTCATGATAGTGCAGCCTTCTCATTAATGTCGTGTATGGAGCTACCGCCGTTTGTTAAATTAATGTCGTTGTTCCATTTGTAGTTTTTTGGGTTAATGATTTTTTCCAGTCTTTCTGTGTCATTTTCTATGTTATTATTATTAGAGGTAAAATACCTGAGTCCTATATTGTCTAAACATAAACATTAATTATAGTTATAAAAAGATATTAAGCTACCCCACTTAAATAGGTTAAAAATAAAAATCCAATACCTTATAAAGTGTAATTTTTCTCCTTCACTTTTTTCTCATGTCTCCTCAAAACTCTTTATAATTAATTAGTTTCATGGTTCATTTTTCAATTATTGTTATTTTTTTCATTGTTGTGTTTATTGAATTGATGTCCTTTTTTTTACTATTGTCGTTCTTATATATAAAAGTCGTTTATAAGGCTCTCGTTATTTCTTTTGTTGATGTCGTTGTTATATTTTTGTCGTTTATACAGATTAACTTTGATGTTGTTTTCATGCGCAATGTCGTTTTTACTCCTTTTTTTTTGTGCGTGTTTATTTTCTTAATGTGAAATTAAAGGTCATTTTAGAATTTTCACATGTGAGTTATCATTACAACTCAAAATGATACAAAACTCTCTGAGTTTATATTAAGTTCAACCTTCATCTAATTTTCTTCAAAATCATCTTGTTTGTATGCGAGTCTACATATGAAGAGCCCGTTTGGTTCATGGATTAGAACCATGAGATTAGAACTATTTTCGATGTACGTGTATTTTTTTATGAGAGAAAATACTGTAGCGAACCATAAACCATGATTCGAATAAGAGAACGAATCCTCCAACCAAACGGACTCAAATTCTAGTTCTGTTATCGTTCGTTGGGTTTTAGGCTTTTATTTTAAATGATTAACCTATTAAGAGTAGCACAAGTGATGGAGTATGATGAAATCATTAAACATAAGAAGATTAAGAGAGGTATTAGAAAACTACTTAACTTTATATATATGCGTTTTTCAAAATTTGTTGTCACTTCATGTTTGTGTTGGATTTAGTATCATTTTCTTTGTTCGACTCTACTTTATTGAAAAAAAAAAAGGAAAAAGAAAAAGAAACTGTTTTACCTTATGTCGTCATAATATATTATGATATCCACCTATCATGGAAAACGTCTACAGTTATGATCCATATTTTAAAACCTCGACACTGGACATCATTAAAAAGAAAGAAACAAGAGAGATAGGAAAAAGAAAAAAAAAAAAAAACAATTGCCAACGGTTATTGCACAATTTTTTTTGTTAAAACATAAAAAAATTCCGTTGTCATTTACTTCCTCATTGTCGTTATCGACTTTTTGCTGTCGTTTGCCACTTCTTTTGTTTAAACGATTCTGTCTTTTGATATGTATTACTGTTAATTGATGTCGTTTTTGATAATGTCTTTATTCTTCTCGATTGTCAGTTTATCATTGCTCTTTTTTTTAGCATGTCGTTATTCATTTTAGCTGTCATTCAAAATCTTGTTTTTAAGCTGTCATTTTTCACGTTGTTGTTGCTGCTGCAATTAATGTCGTTTTTTCAATTCTGTCGTTTCACCTCCGGCAACCGGTATCGATCTAATATGAAATACCTTACATTTTGTGTTGGGGGCAAACAGAGGATTGATAGGTGGCAAGTCCAAAATTAGATTTGTAAGCACATAAGCTTTACACTCTTTTCTTGCCTCAGAAGATCCCCTCTGGGGTTGATTGCTATTTTTGGCATCTATTTTTATTCTTGCTTTTCATATATTTGATAAATTTTCTTGGTTAACTTTGTTCATTATTATTCCTTCGATTATAATATGTAAATATTGGCAACACTGATACATTTAAATTTGGTAATGGAGGGGCCGGCCGAGATTTTCCAATTATGCATGCACGTGACACGACAACTAATAGCTATATATACATATATATCAATTGAGTTCTTGTCGTTTTCGTAATTTTTATGCCGTTTAAAGCATAATATCGTTTTCAGGAGATTTCGTTTAAACAACTTTGTCCTCGATCGTTTTATATAATGCTGTTTTCGTTTCGTTTTAGATGTTCTTGTCCTTATACATTGTTGTTTTAACGTTATTGTCTTATTACAGCTAGTTGTTGTTTATAATATGTTGTCCGTGATTTTAATTTATTTTCGCTTTTTATCTTTTTTCCCCTAATTTTTACGTTCATTGAACCCATGCCGTCAGTGAGTTAGTATCGTTTCTTACTCGCTGCACTGCCGTAGAATAT